ACAGACTTCAGTGCGGGCGGCAGTGCAAAGGTCTACAAAGGATCGATATCTAATGACTGGGGCACCAAAACAGCTGTCTCACACGTACGTAGTATAACAACTTTATCAGTGATAATGTTCATTGCTATTTACATGTACTCAAGTAATACAAAAATCATTTGATGTCTTAACAGTCAACTGTCAAAACAATTTCCCTCAGGATGTTGGGACGCACCAAATGAGCTCCTCGGGAAAACAGTTCTTACTCCACTTCAGGGTTAATATCTATGCTCTATATCACAGCTTATGTTCGTCTAATCATATTCTATGGTGGGCGGTAGCGTACCTTTGGGGATTTAGTTTGAACGGAACAATATAAATGTTGCAAATATACATATGAATGCTTATACTTGCGTTTAAAACAGCATCGAAAATAATAATCCATCTGTCAGGGTGTTTTTGTCCTATTCATGTTGCAGTTTTTACAAAATGGTTGACCAGGTGGTGAAAAAGCTATTTTTTGGTGAAACATAAACATGTTTTCAATAGATATCAAACGCAAAACAAGTTAGTCGCAAACTGTTCAGAAATTTCTGTCATAATTTGAATTCGACGTCAAGCCCGATAGAGGTATGATGGAAAGATCTGAATGGTTTCCTGAACAGTCCCATGCAATAGTCCTTAGTATATTTCGTAAGTTGGTGATTTATCAAAAAACTGTGGAAAGGAAATGTAGATAAGGATAAGTGAGCCATATCGTGTGTGATATACCTTTATCAGACAAAATCAAAAGTGATTAGAAAATTCAGAAATATCCTCAACAACGCCACTTGATAAAAATGCTAGGGAGGCAAAGCGTGTGTACTTCTCCAAGATGGGCACATGCATTGATATTTCTTTTCTAAAAGGATTATTGATAATACGTGTATGCTACAACACTGTCCGGACGTTTAGCAAATTGTTCACATCAGTGAAAAAGTGTCAGTAGGTTCTGTCACATTTTTTTTTTTTTTAAGTAATACCTGCATAAATCAATACAAGGAAATTATAGATTATCTGAGAAAATGTAAACTATGACTTTCAGAACTCTTACATAGGTACAAACGGATTACTTCGGCCTTTCCGTCGCATGTTGAACGGAAATGGCCGGAAAGGGCCGAGGTGGTCCGATTGATAGGTATAGTGAAAATGTCGTTTACATTTTAGTTTACGTAGTGTAGGGTACTTTTAAGTCAAATAAGGTCAGTTTGCCCTGCACAGAGGAGTGAACTCAGATACATGTATTTGTATTTGGGTACATATAAGTGTTCATTGTAATCCTCTTAATATACAATACAGGTATTATCGAGTTTAATAACAAATTTATCCGGGTTAAGTATATTAAATAAATGTTGGCGTGTTACGAATGATCCGTTCCGTTGTTTTCAGCATGTGCTTTTAAAATGTAATACATTTATCAAAACATAAGCTGTTGTCCTGGTCAGCTAGAAACATTTAAGCAGATCATGTGTATATAAAGAAGTTTGTTATATATGTAATTATGCGTTTTGTTAATTAAACCTTCTCGAATAAGTATTAAGAAATTGAATCGAGTAAAATATATTTGAAAACATAGACAGTCACTAACATTGTTTTTCATACACATACAATAATAAATAAGTTCTAACCTTTTTTGTATGCCAGGGCAGGGATGATCGGTCATACTGAATTTAAAGGTGATAGTACCTATTCTTGATGACCAATTCCTTAATATTTTAGCAGACATAACCACCAAAACACTACTTTTTACATAAGAGTTAATCATGCAATCACGATTATATTGGTTTCTAAAACGGATAAAGCCGTTTTTCTCTCACCATAGTAACATGTGGTAAGATATCTCTTTACCTCTTGTATGTCGACCAGCTAATAAACCGATTATATATTGGGTGGTCGGGTGCTCGGGTGGTGCAGTGGATAGCAAAGTTGCCTTTCACAAAGGCGGCCGGGGTTCGATTCCCTGATCGGACGTGAAAGGGTATGTGGTCACCTGCCCGACCACATTGGTGTTCTCCGGGTACATGCATACAAAAACTAAGCACTAAAATTGGCATATACAAGACGAAGTGGACTATGTTGGCTTCATATTTTTTCAAGAAAAAAGATAATTGTGTTTTGTTTGAGAGTACAGTTTAGGCAATAGCTTTTCATCTAGTCTATATTTGTATTCAGCACATGTGTAAATTTGTGACAAAAATCCCCAGGTGAAGCTATGTTTATTGCTGTTGCCGATTGATTGATATTTAATTTAAGACAGATTTTCATTTCCTGAAAAACATATTCTAAAAATAGTTTTATATATATAATGTAGTTTATATATAATAGTATATATGAATATATATATGTAGGTGTGTTGTGCAGAATGAAACGCCCTTAGTTTTTAGAATCAGCCCATTTCTTCTGTACTTCAGATAATTACAAACAATGAGTACTCTTATTCGAACCCTGATGCAGAGGATATGATTTCACAAAGTTTAATTAGTGGAGACTGCTAAGTTATGGTTTTTTGTTTATTCTTAATAATTATTTGCATATCAGTTTGTATAACGAAACTCTGTTTTTGTTCAAACAGGTGAAGATTTCAGCCTATAAGGACGGTATTGAGAAAGGTTATGTTGTATTTGACGCATTTGGCAAAACAAAGTCTGACTTCATGGACTGTAACAACGTTGTTCACTCATCCTGGTCCGACCTGAAAGGCAATTCGTTCAACTACTGTAATATGCCGTAAGTTAACACACGGAAAAAAATACAATTTAATCCACGCTGGTTTTTTATTAATATTTTTTTGTTTCAATAGCATTTCAGCATTGAATAGTAAGAGTGCGTTGTAGTTCTTTATCATTGTAAAAAAAAAACCGAAGAAGGCGCGTCTTCTTGTGGGAGAAACACGGAGTACCCGGTGAAAACCTACGTGGTCGGGCAGGTGACCCCGTACCTTTTCATGTCCGATCGTAGACTAAGCACGGAGTGCAGAGACTAACACTGAGTTTAGGATTTTCAGGGAACATCTCAAAATCATCTTTTGTTACAAATTAATAAAGGACCCATGCCGTCTTATTACTAGAGTACTCCACTCTAGTGTTTTGAACCTTCAGCTACTGTGTACCTCCCTATATTTTCATTACGACAATTGAGTAACTTCCCTTGACTGATCTCACCTTTACATTTTTATTTTTCTGTTGTTTGCAGTAGTATGACGATCCTTAAGATACATGAGCACAGATTCATCCCCTAAAATTAATGCTCTATGAAGCCTTTTAAAAGTGCTTAAAACAAAAACGACAAAAAACCTAAAAACAACTCAAAAATTCTAAGCTGTTTTCTTGCCTTTGCTTTGCGCGCTACGTATTGTCCTCAGGTGGCAACGGCTCGATAAGGTCAAGTTACTTCGTTCCGTCACCCTCGACTGGATATTCTCTNCCCCAACACACACACACACACACACACACACACACACACACCATTCCCTCCTTACATATTGAGATTCAAGAGCACCCAAAATGATTTTGTATGGGAGTAAAATAAAATCTAACCCTAACGGCAAAAGTCTGATACTCCTGACATGTCTGAATGGAATGTCAAAATTAGATAAAAAGTTATAAAGATAGTTGTATTATAAAAGGAAAAAAATACATTTGCTTATGCTTATAATTTTGATTTATCTATGTTTACTTACATTCATCCTACAGCGGACACACTAGTATCGCACGAACGTTCTACATCAATAGAAGCTACGGTGGTTGTTACCAGGATTACGGGTGGTTTATACTGAAAGACTACGACCAGTCCGGCGGTTGTAGCAACTGGGATCCAAACTCCGGAAATCCAAAGGTCATGTACTCTGGAGACTCCAATTACATCAACTGGGATTCGGGTAAATATTGGTGATTCATCCAAGTCGTTGTAGACACAGTTTAAATACGATAGGTGTTTGAGTATGCGCCAAATGAAGCTTCTTTCTGCCTGCATTGTTTATAACTTACGGTCATTGTTGCTTGTCGAATAGTCAAATGCAATCTTAAATGGAACCCACCTCAGTGGCAATGTTCTTTAAAACAGGTCAAAGCTGAAAGTCGAAAACTCCAATGTCATGTAAAATGGAAGTCGATCCGGTTATATTGTCAGTGTTGGACCTAGTATTGGACGATTTAACAAACAAAAAAATATCAGGAGCAATTCATCAGCCGATATTCTTTAAAGATGGATATATTGATGTCTTTCCATTCATTTTGAGTATTTAAATGTATTTAAACTGGGTTTTCTCAAGATTTTTATTTCCTTTTTTTCGTATTGATTTCAGGTAACAGACAGACAGGAGATTCGTTTGCAATTTTCGTTCTTGGTAAGTTTGTTTGATGTCTTAATCATATTTTGTGGGAAATTTAACCGTATCGGCTACATATTGTGTTCTAGTTGCCGTGAGGTCTAGGTAGGTATAAACATTAACTATATATGTAACCATTAACTAAAAATGTACACATTAACTATATTTCTAAACATGAACTATAATTGCACAATTCCATTATGTATATCAACAAATGAAGCCAGATCTTAAACCAGTTGTAATGCTGTTATAAGTAGCGGAATCAGAATTATTTTACCTATCCAATTTATATATTTATGTCTACAAGAAAAATGATCACGATAACTGTGACACTGAACGTGTGAATCATGAGCAGATGTTGCTTAATCGTGCCTAGGCATCGCGATAAAACCGCGATGATTCAAAGATATTTAAAACCAAATTTACATGTCAATAAACCTAAATTGTCCAGCATTTTTGATTAAATAAAGCGAGACACACCATGCTAAAACCAACCTTGTTTGTTATCACAGAATGGAAAATGGTGTTCAAGGGTGTCACCGGCGTTGAATCCTCAGCCGGATCGCTGTTAGAGTTGTGGACTGGTTCCAGCACCGAGAACAGCAATGACGTCAGCGCCATAACTATAACTAAGTCTCCAAGCAAAACCTACAAATCTGCTATGGTGGAGACATGGTCAGAGGAGCTGGTCGATCAAGTATGTTATTGCTTATTTCTGAGTTCATAATAAAAAATCCGGAATTTTTAAGATCTGATCAATGAAACATTGAAAAAAAAAACACGGCGTTGTTTGTCTTTGAAGTTCTGATAAGCAATATTTAATTTTCACGATGTCACAACAAAATTAGCATGATGAGTGACGTCCTCATTTCACGTTATAAATATGATTTATCCTGGAGTACCTAGTGTGGATTGTGTGTCATATTGCAGGTACGTTATTCCTATTTCACCGGCGGTACAGAGGTGGCCTACACTGTCTTCAATGGCCGTGGGTCCGACAAATCGTCATGGTTTTCAGATCCAAACATCATCTACTCCAAATACACGGACATTAGCAAGAGCAAGGTCGCGTGCGGCATTGACGGGTAAATAATATCACTTTAGGATAAATATTACATTCTAAGAAAAAATGTGCTTGTAAAAATTCTACATTGATATTTTAATTGGTTCTGACGATATTTACTGTCAATCAACACAGCTGACGCCGTTTGTTATCATGCCATGTTTCCTCGAAATGTATGCTTTAAACATATATAAGAGGTTATCACCTTCCTCTGATTGCGACAAATGTTATTAATATTATGTATTACGTCATAACAGGGACACCAACCGGAAGTTCACCATACATCACGTATATAATGGTTGCCCTAATGACGATATTTGGATGCAGATCCTTGACAAACGGGGTGGTGGCGCACCCTGCTCCTGGGATCAGAATGTTCAAACGCGCCCTTATTTCCTCTACAGTGCTGGAACTACGGTCGCCCGGGCAGAGTTAGGTGAGACGCATTTAAAAAGTAAAATATAATATTGCCTCATTCTAATTACGTAGACACGGGGTTCCATTTCATTTCATGAACTTTTTTTCATTTTTGACTAGAGCAAGGTATTGGCTAATTGTTTAGATGACAGTTATACGGCAATATATTTTATATCTAAATATTGAACTTATGCAGGGAGGTGTTTTGAATTCAATTACAGCGACATATTGCATTTTTTCTGAAGTTTTCTTTTTTTTGCAACATTTGTTTTTAATATAGCAATACTTTTTTATCATTTCCATTCCATTGACGGCCTATATATTTGATCAAGTAAAATTGTGTAAAATGCATATCCAAATAAATAGACCAGCTTGACGTTGTTGTATTTTGATGTCGTATTCGTGTTTAAAACATTCATAGAGCAACATTAAAAAAAAAAAAAAAAAGCAATTCTTATTTATCATTTGCATTATTTTTGCAGCCAATATATTTGAAATATTGATAGTGACTTCTGATTGAATCTTAAGAGAATCCAAAAGAAAGATGATCGTTTATAGAAGATAAGAATTACAATATTTCAATCACGCGACTTTTTTCTCTTCTTCAGGAGGCAACTGGAACAGCGCCGGATTCCCAGCAGCTGAAACCATGGGCATCTTCATTACAGGTAATTATGTTTAACGTTACCGATGATTAGCCAATGTAAACTATTAGGCCCACTACTTACATAATATAATAACACTTAATATAGCAAATGATTTCATTCGAAAATATTTGAAATAAGAACAAAAAGCATCATGTTAAGTGGTGTGGTTAATATTAATAAGCGAACAAACTTAATGTATGTTTCATAAACTAAGCTGAGTAATACAAATATTTAAGACAATATCAGATATACCAATATATTCACAGTGCTAAATATACTGGTGTTGTCATGTAAAACTCTAGAAACAATCAAAACTATTTGTTTAGATATGTTCAATGGTCCATTAAACAAACAGTATAAGAATGAAATATCACATTTTAAAAAATGGTGGGTTTAAATTTCTTAAGTATAGCCCAACTTATTGAGGAGGTATATGATAATCACTTTGTCAGTGCGTACGTCCCTCAACAAATTAAGTTTATTTTTACACCATACACTGTACCTGAATCGATTTTAGCGGTCGTCGTTTAAATGTAAATGGTCAAAGGTCAAGGTCAAACATAACATTCGACTACATTTTGAAGTAATATAACACTTGAAGTAACATGGAGGCACGGTAGTCTAGTGGTAGGACGCCGGGCTCGTGACCAAAGGGTTGGGGGTTCGAGTCACGGCACGGCACGGCACGGTGTTGTATCTTTGAGAAAGATACTTTACTCTGCTTGTTGCAGTCTACTAGCTGTAAGTAAGTACGTGGTTGGGCAGTGCTAGAATTGTTGAATGCTAGCTTTGAGCGCCGAAATGGCAGCACCGTCTGTATGCTCTCAATGTAGTTGAGAAAGATATTGGCTGGTTGCAAAGGCCCTATAACCACGGATAATATTTTGTGAACCACTTTGAGACGACCTACGAACTAGATTGTGATAATTATTATTGTAACAATATAGCGTCTGTCCTGGTGCGCCACATAATAGCTCTAATGACTAACACATAGCTTGTACACATGTACAATTCACCTGTATCTCGGGTAAAGTACGTGCGCTTCGCGCTACATGTACGTCACATGATCTGCACTATATGTACCCTGCAAACACGCCACACGTGACCCTCATTAAAACAGGGTGATGACCGCAACATTGATAAATTCAAATATAAGCATATAATCCGAAACGTAGAGTTAGAGTACAAAAGAGTTTACAATATACCTCATTCATATCCACATTATATAGAGAGGGAGTGACGATGATCATGTAGTTCATTTGATTAGAGCGTCCGTCTAGAGCATAGAGGTTCTGAAATCGAATTCCCTTCTAGCTCCGTTTAATTTTCCCTCTGATGTTACAGTGTCGAAACCTTGTTTCACATATTATGTGTGCGATTGGCAAGAATATACTTAACCTGGGTTGTAATAATTCAAGATTTCTTTGCACTTTATTTGGTTTAATTGAACAGAAAATGATCGTAAAACGATTTTAATTGCATTTGCCGTATTGTTTAAGGCTGGACACCGGTTATGAAGTTAGCACACGGGCAGGGTATTGGAGGAGGAGCGACCGATGTACGAGACTTATGGAAAGGCACTTACACGGTTAACGAGGGAGACGCTGACGCTATGTCCATAGCGTCAGGAACTAAATCCTACAAGTCATCAATAGTCGACAGCTGGTCCGATTACTACATCAGCGCAGTACGTACGTCAACATAGGTTGTAACCAGGTCAATTACGTAATAAAATGTCGTCATACACCAAAGAGCTATATTAACAGAAGTTTAGCACCTTTTGTCATGAACAAATAATTACTTAAAATACGAAGTAAGTAGGTACCTTTTAAAATTTAGTTTTTCAATGAATAAAATTGTAAATATGCTTTATTACAAACTTTATATAAATGTTACTTTTTTTTTATTCTAATAACTAATATTTGCTTGAATATAACAGATGCATTTATTTGAAATAATTCCGATTGTCCAGTTCATCAGTGAGGTGGATATGATACGGTAGTCAATTTCATTACTCATAACACGTTTAATGTGTTTCTCTTGTTTAGAAGTAGGTGCCGTTATAAAAAAAACATCTCTCTCGGGGGTTCAGTAATTAGCATGGCTGTATATCAATCGGTCTAGGAATTAAGAATAGAGTTCTGGTTTCAGTTTTCATTAGACATTCAGAAATACGTTCAGATAGGAAAATATCCGCCGCATGTTTAATTTAAACGTATTGTTTTATTAGTGTAACAACGACTTCCTTTCATTACTGTTATTTGTGATCAATTGTATTGTCGAGGAATCAACTGCTGTACCGTAAATGACGTTTATGATTGAATTCTATGTCACAGGTTCGCGTGTCTTTTGTGACTGGTGGCAAAGAGAAGGCATTCGCTGTATTTGATGCTCATGGTGCGGACAAGAACAGCTGGTTCACCAAAGCCAGAGTACTGTACTCGTCATGGAATGACCTGGGCCCAACTTCGACCACAAACTATGATTCTATTGATGGGTATGTAGTAGCCTGAAGCAGTTTTCATATTTTACATCCATCCAGTGAATTTAATATTCACTGAATGACATCAACAGCACCATAATTTGAACTCAAAATCGAAAACAAACTAGAGCAAAATATAAACAAAGGTAAGGTAATTCCGTCTTTTCGTATTGCAGAGTTATCTTCTCTTGTGAGCAGGTATAGATTGTTACGTCATTGGTTTGTGTGAGAAAATTACGTCGTTTTCTCAAAAATTGATGACGTTACTCTCACAAACAATGTGACGTAACAACCAATACCTGTTCACAAGAGAAGATAACTCTGCAATACGCAAAGACGGAATAGTCATTGAATCACAATAACTTTAATACTAATCTAGTGACGACCAAACAATACAGCTACTATTTATTGACCAATCTGGGATCAATGTGAAATTTACCTAATACCTGCTTTAGTAGAAAGCCGATGTTACAACATTAATGTCACCTTGTCTGTCATTGTTTAATGACAGACAAGGTGACATTGATTTTGTGACACTATGATAAAGTTTATATTTTTCTACATTTTGTATCATCATAAATCATAAGATAAACTGCAAGAAAACAAGTTCACGCCCAATACAAAAATTCTATCTCATAAATGAAAGCCACAGCCCGGTTTATAAACATAAAAAAAGAATAAGAAAATGAGGGTGAATATAACTACATAATTATGTATTTTGTTATCCTCTAGGCATCAGCCTCACGGGCGTGATTTCTACATGAACCGAAATTATGGCGGATGCCAAAGTGATGCAGGATGGTTCATTGTATCGGAAGTTGCAAGCTATGCCTGCAGTTGGGAAACGAAAAGCAACATTAAACCATATTACTTGTACAGTGATGCAGCCGGATATGAGCTATCAGATAGTACGTACTATTTATTATGTTTCTCGCCATACTTCCGGTATGCCGCAATAAAGGTGGTTAGTGTAAGTTGTATTACACGAATAGCGTTTCGTTAATCAAAATCACTGGCACAAAACATACATATGCATCTTTCTAAATATTTTCCTCGGGTTGGAAAGTATGGATTATGCAAAGTTCTTCTTACACAACCAATAAGATTTTCTATGTGACGTTTCGATTACTATTACGATATGTACACTGTCACCTTCATCAGACCAAATGACCAGTGAAGCGTATGCACACAAAGGTGCAAAATGTGAACGAGTTGTCCACAAAATCGACGTCGATTCGGTTACGCTGTAAGCGTTTGTATAATAGTTATGTATGTACCGAAATGACTCGATTCAGCTTCGCATATGCATCATTTTCTGAAATAAATAAAATCTCGGTCAGAACAATATCTTCACTCGATCAGCTTTTGACCTTATCAAAACATGAAAAGCATAAACATGTACAATAAATATATTTATTTTAGGAAATATGGATTTTTTCTTCATATTAAATATGAATGTATTTTAATGTTTAATGAATAACACGGTTTGACCATTTGGTCATTTAGCATCTGTGAAACAGTAGTGAAAAAAAGAACTAGTTTTCGAATTAGTGGTCAAGTTTGATAAAATCCATTACACTGAAAAGAAAAAATCAAAACATGTTGTTTTGCTTCATCTCGTCTTTCAACAGATTTATTAAGAGCTCACTGATCAGTCTGCTCTCAGATAATATTTTGCAGTGTCATTGACTGGTCCTGGTTTTACAGCTCAGGCTATAACCGAACACATTGTCTTTTTCTTACAGATCAAGTATTGGCTGATGTGTTTGTAATCTCGGTTTGTGAGTATATTCAATTTCACATAAACATGTTTTATGTGTTGTAATAAGGTTAAAATAAAAGAGAAAATGTTATTCTAACCTTTGAAAAATCTCAAAATTCGGATAAAAAATCATTACTGTTACAGAGCAAGACACATAATAATTAGGAGAGGCCCTAGTAAGTTGTAAGAACATATGCCAAATCTATTCAATGTAAATAAAATTTGTTTGAATGGGACTTGTATGCTGACTGATATAATGAATATTCAAATAAGTGTTCATTTTCAAAAGCTCAACGATATAAACAAATGTCAGAACACAGGTAAAATAGCAAATCAAATGTATTTAATTTGTATTCAACTGACAAGAACAAATTAAAAACTTATTAGCAATAAGGTTCCAAAGGATACGATACTTTTATTTGAATGGGTATTTGTATGTTGTTGTTTTATAGCGATGGATATGTGCAATCCAAATCGGTGTGGCAACGGCGCTACCTGCATTGACCTGGGGACTACCTATGAGTGCGCATGTGCTGGAAATTACTTTGGAAATAATTGCCAAAACTGTAAGTCCGAAACCCCATGCGGAAATATATAGCCATTGGATCAATCAATTAACCGCACGCCATCCGTCCTTTAAGGGATACGTTAAAATAAACTTGTTTTGAATCTTATTTTCTGTTAAAGCTATCCCGACGTTTCTTATTAATTTTGTTCAATAAGAAATCCTTTTTTTAAACGGTCAAATCGCTTTTCCAGAAAATGGAATACGTGCTGCTCTGTTGAAGTACTTGACTGAAGCCGAATAAAATATCACTTGATGAATATAATTAGTAAATTTTTATTTTGCATGTATGGCGGCAGTATTAACGCACTTTGTCAAGCAAAATATACCGGCTAATTTTCTTAAACTATCAAATGACTCCTTATAACGATAATTTCATATTTAAATCATAATTAATTTGTAGTTAATTTAATCTTCATATGAAGTTATCTTAAAATTCACAGGTTAGGATCGTAGTGTAAACAAGACTGCTATATTTCACCTTTTTTTTAAAAAAGGGATGCAAGTGAACTTTTGTTTTTACGTTAAGTAATATTTCACTATGTTTCCGTTAATAGTGAATGGTGGGTTTTCAAGCTGGAGTTCATATGGATCATGCACGACGACATGCGGATCCGGAAGTAAGACCAGAACGAGGACTTGCAACAATCCATCTCCCTTTGGATCTGGAGCTTCCTGTGCCGGAAGTACCACAGAAACCGCTTCATGTAACGTCCAATCTTGTGCAAGTACGTTTCCTGATTAACATTATGTATTATTTAGGGGATAGTACGTTGTTTTGAGTGGCTATACTGGCGATTAGAACATGAAATTTGGGTTTGAACTCGAGACCGATAGGATTGATCATGATTCTATCGCAGATTAGAACACGGTCCGTATCCAATCAAAACACGCGTTGCAAACGAATCGTGTTAGAATGCATTTTATCCTATAAATACCGTGTTATGCAGTGTCGTAAAGCCATCACATAAATTATGTTTAACGTGCGTAATATCACTCCGGAAATGACGTCATAATCGAATAGGAACAATCAATGTGACGTCACGTCATTGAGAAGCGGACGCAATTTACATCGTTTCAGAGGCGGCCAAGTGCAAAAAAATTGTTTCAGATCACAATTATACAGTTTACTTTGTATTATATGATAAAAAGAATCTGTCATATGTTTCCCTTCATATAGGATTGATGATACTCGTTCTGGATTGTTCATATTTGCTCGCCAGAGGTTCGCAAACATGACAAATCCAAAACTTGTATCATAAATATAATATGAAGGGAAACTTATGCGGTTCCTCTATATTCAAGCGTAATGATTTTAAACAACACTAAGTTCGTTGAGATCCTAATTAAAATAAGGACAATCCAAACTTGAATAATGTTAGTAAAAGTAGCGTAACAATAGAGATGTATTGTGGGGTGTTACTCCCTGTTTCATAACTAGGACATTACGTGAACGTATATAGAAAACGATTGCAGTTTAACATAAATTATATCGCTAGCTGTCCAAGTAAGTACCAACCCGTCCACTGCAACAACTTCAACGAGCTGCAACACGGCTTGCTGTCCAAGTAAGTACCAACCCGTCCACTGCAACATCTTCAACGAGCTGCAACACGGCTATAGCTAGCTGTCCAAGTAAGTACCATCCCGTCAACTGCAACATCTTCAACCAGGTGCAACACAGCTATCGCTAGCTATCCAAGTAAGTACCAACACGTCAACTGCAACATCTTCAACCAGGTGCAACACAGCTATAGCTAGCTATCCAAGTAAGTACCAACCCGTCCACTGCAACAACTTAAACAAGCTGCAACACGGCTATAGCTAGCTGTCCAAGTAAGTACCAACCCGTCAACTGCAACATCTTCAACCAGGTGCAACACAGCTATAGCTAGCTATCCAAGTAAGTACCAACACGTCAACTGCAACATCTTCAACGAGCCGCAACACGGCTAGCTGTCAAAGTAAGTACCAACCCGTCCACTGCAACATCTTCAACTAGCTGCAACACGGCTTGCTGTCCAATTAAGTACCAACCCATCCACTGCAACATCTTAAACGAGCTGCAACACGGCTAGCTGTCCAGGTAAGTCCCAACACGTCACCTGCAACATCTTCAGCGAGCCGCAACACGGCTAGCTGTCAAAGTAAGTACCACCCCGTCCACTGCAACATCTTCAACGAGCTGCAACACGGCTTGCTGTCCAATTAAGTACCAACCCATCCACTGCAACATCTTAAACGAGCTGCAACACGGCTAGCTGTCCAGGTAAATACAAACCCGTCAACTGTAACATCTTCAACGAGCTGCAACACAGCTGTAGCTAGCTATCCAAGTAAGTACCAACCCGTCCACTGCAATATCTTCAACGAGCCGTAAGCTAGCTTTCCAAGTAAGTACCAAGCCATCCACTGCAGCATCTTCAATGAGCTGCAACACGGCTAGCTGTCCAAGTAAGTACCAACCCGTCTACTGCAACATCTTCAACGAGCTGCAACACGGCTAGCTGTCAAAGTAAGTACCACCCCGTCCACTGCAACATCTTCAACGAGCTGCAACACGGCTTGCTGTCCAATTAAGTACCAACCCATCCACTGCAACATCTTAAACGAGCTGCAACACGGCTAGCTGTCCAGGTAAATACCAAACCGTCAACTGTAACATCTTCAACGAGCTGCAACACAGCTGTAGCTAGCTATCCAAGTAAGTACCAACACGTCCACTGCAACAACTTCAACAAGCTGCAACACGGCTATAGCTAGCTGTCCAAGTAAGTACCAACCCGGCCACTGCAACATCTTCAACGAGCTGCAACACGGCTATAGCTAGCTGTCCAAGTAAGTACCAACCCGGCCACTGCAACATCTTCAACGAGCTGCAACACGGCTATAGCTAGCTGTCCAAGTAAGTCCCAACCCGTCCACTGCAACATCATCAACGAGCTGCAACACGGCTAGCTGTCCAGGTAAATACAAACCCGTCAACTGTAACATCTTCAACGAGCTGCAACACAGCTGTAGCTAGCTATCCAAGTAAGTACCAACCCGTCAACTGCAACATCTTCAACGAGCTGCAACACGGCTAGCTATCCAAGTAAGTGCCAACCCGTCCACTGCAACATCTTCAACGAGCCGCAACACGGCTAGCTGTCCAAGTAAGTACCAACCCGTCAACTGCAACATCTTCAACGAGCTGCAACACGGCTCGCTGTCAAAGTAAGTACCAACCCGTCCACTGCAACACCTTCAACGAGCTGCAACACGGCTATAGCTAGCTATCCAAGTAAGTACCAACACGTCAACTGCAAGATCTTCAACGAGCCGCAACACGGCTAGCTGTCAAAGTAAGTACCACCCCGTCCACTGCAACATCTTCAACGAGCTGCAACACGGCTAGCTGTCTAAGTAAGTATCAATCCTTCTGAACTGGATATTTCAAGCTTATTAAAATATACGAACATGTTTTAATTGATGAAGAAATATAAATAAGAGTAAAAACTGAATTTGAAGAACGGAAATAATAATAGACGTTTTTTACATCAAAATTTGGTCACACATAGAGTCTGTTCACATTTTCTTTAATCTCTCTTACATTTCCATTGCTTTATATTTCCATAATAATATAAAGATTGATTCTTGTTTTCAACTTGTGTATGAACCCTTTTGACGATTGGATACTAAACAAGTTCAATCTCATTTCTGATGAGTTTGTGCTATTGGTAAATGCATATTGGGACTCATGGAGTGAGTATTCAAGTTTAACTGTGACGCGTAGTTCGCTATAGAAAACTCATTAATGCACAAATCTATCAAGAAAAGAATGGATACGTGGAGTGATTAAATTCTTCAATGAAACTGAACAAATTAATTGATATTTAAACTGAAATCAATTTAATGGAAAAATCTGACAATGCATCTTTGAACTATTCATCGTATCTTTGAGACTAAATCTGGTACACATGTAGTATGCATCTGCCGTTGTTTTTATGCTCTAGTCGATGGTGGTTGGTCCTCGTGGAGTGGCTGGGGATCTTGTACGACTACGTGTGGAGGCGGAACTCAACAGAAAACCAGAACCTGTAACAATCCTTCAAGACAACATGGCGGCGCTGACTGTCCCAACAACCCGTCTTCTGCAACAGCCACTCAGGCCTGTAACACGGCAAGTTGTCCAAGTAAGCACCTTCCCTACCTTTAATTTTCTAGATATATTTTTTTTCTGCATATATGATGATGCAGACAAAGGACTAGGGGTCATTTCTGGCCTCAACAAAGATTTAGAATAAGTTGTAATATTCGTAATCCGGAGCAAATGAAGTACGCAAATATGAAATTTCAAATTCATTCGACAACTGGACTAGGATTATGGAATTACTAAGAGCGACAAAAATCCGCCTCTTCGTTTTAAAATGCGTGAATATCGTCTCCTGTGCGCTATTTGTTTGTAAATGGGACATTTTGAAGAAAATTTAACTTCAATTTTTGAAAGCTTCAACATGCAAAAAACAAATACATATTTGACATGCTTAAACAGTGTCATACCATTCGTAAAAAGGAATTTTTGTTTGTCACATGCAGAGGTTTACTTTTCTGCTTGCTAACCATCCAAAACCGTCATAGTTTGGATGTGTCTGCATAGCAACGCAATTTTTTTGCTATGGTAGGGCATCTTCGTAAGCGCATTGGAAAAAGTCTTCACCAAGACAGATAGCCCCAATTAACCAATATGATGTTTGGGACAGAAAGCGGTAAATAAATTCAACTTGATTTTTGTCTGTTAAAACGTCTCATAAACTTCAATATGTCTTTGATACATAATACATATAACGTTTCTATATTTATAGAGTTGCGGCATTAAAATGAAACCATAGAAAATATGTTTATTGATGGTTGATTTTGATGATATCGAGATAATGAATCTATAACGATTATAAGGCACCTTTTATATTTCACAGTACGAAATACAGTTGCTCAAAAATCATCAATTATACATGAGGTGTGGCTGTATATCACATGAATTTGTTAACAGTTGACGGAGGATGGAGTTCATGGAGCGGTTGGGGCACTTGTTCTGTGACCTGTGGGGGTGGTACACAACAGAAAACTCGTTCATGTACCAACCCAGCCAGACAGTACGGAGGGGCAGACTGTCCAAATAGCGCCACCGCTTCCCAGTCATGTAATACACACGATTGTCCAAGTAAGTAGTTTGGGCTGCTAATAAATTTAAATTTCTAACTTACTAAATAAGGAAAAAGAATTGTTCTTTCGGGCAGTATGCAAAATATGAATTGCTGTCTGTATGCATTATTAATATTTCAAACAGTTGACGGAGGCTGGGCATCATGGAGTAGCTGGGACACGTGTTCTGTCACGTGTGGCGGTGGTTCACAGGGTAGGACTCGTACGTGTACAAACCCGGTTAAACAGTATGGCGGAGCAGACTGTCCAAATTCAGCCGCGGAAACACAGGCATGCGGCACAATCAACTGTCCAAGTACGTCTTTCAAGTTTCAATCCACATCTTAGAATTCATAATTAATATAAACCTCCATACCGTGGATACTGTATGTTTTATTTAATGATGTAGTAGATTTTAAGAATTTGTTTTTCTACCAGGGTTGTATACATTTCTATGCTAACCTTTTTGCGTTATATTTCAGTTGACGGTGGATGGGGTAACTGGTTGTCATGGGCGACTTGCTCGGTGACCTGTGGGGGTGGAGTCCAGAGTCGGACCCGGAACTGCGATAGCCCATCCGCTCAGTACAACGGGGCCCAATGTGGGGGCACCAACACCGAAAGTCAAACATGCAACAGTCAAGCGTGCATCAGTAAGTATGAAATAGAATATTCTCTGCGGGTGCTTTATTGACTATTTCCTGGGCGGATTGGTCGAGGTTCGATCCCCGAAGTCGTCGTATGCATGGATATTCAGAGAAATTAGTTTAACCTGGTCTGAGGTTAATGTTGCGGTATTTGTGAGGTAGCATGCAAGTGTGGTGGCACTATAAATGATGCATAGAATCAGCCTTAATTTCGCCATTCACATTTAATTACTATGCATATTAAGTTGTCAACTAATGTTTCCTGCTTTGATTAATTCGCGCTCATTCCGGAGGGCGAAAAAGGCGAAAGTTAAACTGCAGTACATATTTCCCGGTATACATCATTGTCTTATCAGTTTCACTGTTAGATACCGACATACGACGTGACGTCATATCGTATTAGATCGTTTCTTTTCGTACCACCATTTTTCATGAATCGCAAACAGAATTATAAATGTAATGTCCAATCCTGAATATTTTCGTACGAAAGTAAGCATGTCGTTTTGTTAGTTTTGACACTTATAGGAAATTCATATTTGTACAGCCAATGGCGGATGGAGTAATTGGTCTGCTTATGGAGCTTGTACTAAAACGTGTGGGTCGGGAGTCTACTCCCGTTCAAGGGCGTGTGATAACCCTCTTCCTTCCAATGGTGGACAGACCTGTTCTGGATCTTCCAGTGAATTCACCGACTGCAACACCCAATCGTGCCCTGCTCCGCAAGCAGGAGTTTACCAACAGGTAATGGGACATTGTTGTAGTCCGTAAGGTTTTATCAACACCTAAATGAAAGGGTTGATGGAAAGTGAGATTCGGGAAATAGGTCACGAAAATGCTATAATGAAATATGATTTACCTAAAGGTATGAATTGTTTGTTAAAAGCAAGCAAACTTAGGTTGGGGAAGTAGATTATGTAATCAATGAATTTCACGTTTCTGTTGTGGGAGAACGAACATACAGCAAGTAAGCGATAAGGCAGAGTTTAGCGTTTTTATATACACGGAGGAAATGGAATGCAGTGCTACAGCCAGTCAAGAGGTCAAATTTAAGAAACATATGTATATTACATATTAGTGCAAAAGGTCAACCGATAAAAAATTGCGTGAATCTGCACATGGGAGATATATGTTCTAACAGCACGGGGATGTATGTTTATAGAAGAAATATCTCTCACTGAAGGAAACACCGCTAGAGAAGCGGAAACATTCTACAGAACGGTGAACTTATACGAAAAAGGTTTACATTAAAAAATGAGTTCCATTACGAATTAAAAGCATACGAGATATATCCCTCTATGGAAGATCATTCACCTACAAGTATTATAATATGTCAAGCATCCCAATGTAAGGCAAATTATATGAGAAACCTTTGACAATGAAAAGGTATTACAATTGGGTACAGGTAACATCGGAAAGGTATCTAGGTAAGAAAAAATATATCAACTGGTAAGATACAAAAAAACACGGAGAACGCCTCTCAAAGAGAGAGAATTTACAAACTGCTAAGGTAACACAGGAAACATATCTCAAAGAGAGAGAATTTACAAATTGGTAAGGTAACACAGGGAACATGTCTCAGTAAGAAAGAATTTACAAACTGGTAAGGTAACACAGGGAACATATCTCAAAGAGAGAGAATTTACAAACTGGTAAGGTAACACAGGGAACATGTCCCAGTGAGAGATAATTTACAAACTGGTAAGGTAACACAGGGAACATGTCTCAGTTAGAGAGAACTTACAAACTGGTAAGGTAACACAGGGAACATGTCTCAGTGAGAGAGAAATCACAAACTGGTAAGGTAACACAGGGAGCATGTCTCAGTTAGAGAGAATTTACAAACTGGTAAGGTAACAGAGGGAACATGTCTCAGTTAGAGAGAATTTACAAACGGGTAAGGTAACACAGGGAACATGTCCCAGTGTGAAAGAATGTACAAACTGGGAAGGTAACACAGGGAACATGTCCCAGTGAGAAAGATTGTACAAACTGGTAAGGTAACACAGGGAACATGTCTCAGTAAGAAAGAATATACAAACTGGTAAGGTAACACAGGGAAAATATCTCAATGAGAGAGAATTTACAAACTGCTAAGGTAACACAGGCAACATGTCACAGTGAGAGAATTTACAAACTGGGAAGGTAACACAGGGAGCATGTCTCAGTTAGAGAGAATTTACAAACTGATAAGGGAACACAGGGAACATGTCTCAATGAGAGAGAATTTACAAACTGGCAAGGTAACACAGGGAACATGTCCCAGTGAGAAAGATTGTACAAACTGGTAAGGTAACACAGGGAACATGTCCCAGTGAGAGAATTTACAAACTGGGAAGGTAACACAGGGAGCATGTCTCAGTTAGAGAGAATTTACAAACTGATAAGGTAACACAGGGAACATGTCTCAATGAGAGAATTTACAAACTGGTAAGGTAACACGGGGAACATGTCTCATTGAGAGAATTTACAAACTGGTAAGGTAACACAGGGAACATATCTCAATGAGAGATAATTTACAAACTGCTAAGGTAACACAGGAAACATATCTCAAAGAGAGAGAATTTACAAACTGCTAAGGTAACACAGGAAACATAACTCAAAGAGAGAGAATTTACAAATTGGTAAGGTAACACAGGGAACATGTCTCAGTTAGAGAGAATTTACAAACGGGTAAGGTAACACAGGGAACATGTCCCAGTGAGAGAATTTACAAACTGGGAAGGTAACACAGGGAGCATGTCTCAGTTAGAGAGAATTTACAAACTGATAAGGGAACACAGGGAACATGTCTCAATGAGAGAGAATTTACAAACTGGTAAGGTAACACGGGGAACATGTCTCAGTGAGAGAATTTACAAACTGGTAAGGCAACACAGGGAACATGTCCCAGAGTGAAAGAATGTACAAACTGGTAAGGTAACACAGGGAACATGTCTCAATGAGAGAGAATTTACAAACTGGCAAGGTAACACAGGGAACATGTCCCAGTGAGAAAGATTGTACAAACTGGTAAGGTAACACAGGGAACATATCTCAATGAGAGATAATTTACAAACTGCTAAGGTAACACAGGAAACATATCGCAAAGAGAGAGAATTTACAAATTGGTAAGGTAACACAGGGAACATGTCTCAGTTAGAGAATGTACAAACTGGTAAGGTAACACAGGGAACATGTACCAGTGAGAAAGAATTTACAAACTGGTAAGCTAACACAGGGAACATGTCCCAGTGAGAAAGAATTTACAAACTGGTAAGCTAACACAGGGAACATGTCCCAGTGAGAAAGAATGTACAAACTGGTAAGGTAACACGGGAAACATATCTCAATGAGAGAGAATTTACAAACTGCTAAGGTAACACAGGGAACATGTCACAGTGAGAGAATTTACAAACTGGTAAGGTAACACAGGGAACATGTCCCAGTGAGAAAGAATGGACAAACTGGTAAGGTAACACGGGAATCATAACTCAATGAGAGAGAATTTACAAACTGCTAAGGTAACACAGGGAACATGTCACAGTGAGTAAGGTAACACAGGAAACATGTCTCAGTTAGAGAGAATTTTCAAACTGGTTAGGTAACACAGGGAACATGTCTCGGTGAGAGAGAATTTACAAACTGGTGAGGTAACAGAGGGAACATGTCCCAGTGAGAAAGAATGTACAAACTGGTAATGTAACACAGGGAACATGTCTCAGTGAGAGAGGGGTCACAAACTGGTAAGGTAACACAGGGAGCATTTCTCAGTGAGAGAGAATTTACAAACTGATAAGGTAACACAGGAAACATGTCTCAGTGAGAGAGAATTTACAAAATGGTAAGGTAACACAGGGAGCATTTCTCAGTGAGAGAGAATTTACAAACTGGTGAGGTAACAGAGGGAACATGTCCCAGTGAGAAAGAATGTACAAACTGGTAATGTAACACAGGGAACATGTCTCAGTTAGAGAATGTACAAACTGGTAAGGTAACACAGTGAACATGTCTCAGTGAGAGAGAATTTACAAAATGGTAAGGTAACACGGGGAACATGTGTCAGTGAGAGAGAATTTTACAAACTGGTATGGTAACACAGGGAACATGTCCCAGTGAGAAAGAATGGACAAACTGGTAAGGTAACACGGGGAACACGTCTCAATGAGAGAGAATGTACAAACTGGTAGGGTAACACAGGGAGCATGTCTCAGTTAGAGAGAATTTACAAACGGGTAAGGTAACACAGGGAGCATGTCCCAATGAGAGAGAATTTACAAACTGGTGAGGTAACAGAGGGAACATGTCCCAGTGAGAAAGAATTTACAAACTGGTAAGGTAACACGGGGAACATGTGTCAGTGAGAGAGAATTTTACAAACTGGTATGGTAACACAGGGAACATGTCCCAGTGAGAGAATTTACAAACTGGGAAGGTAACACGGGGAACATGTCTCAGTGAGAAAATGTACAAACTGGTAAGGTAACATGGGAAACATATCTCAATGAGAGAAAATTTACAAACTGGTAAGGTAACAGAGGGAACATGTCTCAGTTAGAGAATGTACAAACTGGTAAGGGAACACAGGGAACATGTCTCAGTGAGAAAGAATTTACAAACTGGTAAGGTAACGCAGGGAACATGTCCCAGTGAGAGAGAATGTACAAACTGGTAGGGTAACACAGGGAGCATGTCTCAGTGAGATAATTTACAAACTGGTAAGGTAACACGGGGAACATGTCTCAATGAGAGAGAATTTACAAACTGCTAAGGTAACACAGGGAACATGTCTCGGTGAGAGAGAATTTACAAACTGGGTAGGTAACACAGGGAGCATGTCTCAGTGAGAGAGAATTTACAAACCGGTAAGGTAACACAGGGAGCATGTCTCAGTTAGAGAGAATTTACAAACTGATAAGGTAACACAGGGAACATGTCACAGCGAGAGAATTTACAAACTGGTAAGGGAACACAGGAAACATGGCTTAATGAGAGAATTTACAAACTGGGAAGGTAGCACAGGGAACATGTCCCAGTGAGAGAGAATGTACAAACTGGTAGGGTAACACAGGGAACATGTCTCAGTTAGAGAATGTACAAACTGGTAAGGTAACACGGGAGCATGTCTCAGTTAGAGAGAATTTACAAACGGGTAAGGTAACACAGGGAGCATGTCTCGGTGAGAGAGAATGAACAAACTGGTAAGGTAACACAGGGAGCATTTCTCAGTGAGAGAGAATTTACAAACCGGTAAGGTAACACAGGGAGCATGTATCGGTGAGAGAGAATTTACAAACTGGCAAGGTAACACAGGGAACATGTCCCAGTTAGAGAGAATTTACAAACGGGTAAGGAAACACAGGGAACATGTCTCAATGAGAGAAAATTTACAAACTGGTAAGGTAACACTGGGAACATGTCTCAGTTAGAGAGAATTTACAAACTGGTAAGGGAACACAGGGAACATGTCTCAGTGAGAAAGAATGTACAAACTGGTAATGTAACACAGGGAACATGTCTCAGTAAGAGAGAATGTACAAACTGGTAAGGTAACACGGGAATCATAACTCAATGAGAGAGAATTTACAAACTGGGTAGGTAACACAGGGAGCATGTCTCAGTTAGAGAGAATTTTCAAACTGGTTAGGTAACACAGGGAACATGTCCCAGTGAGAAAGAATGGACAAACTGGTAAGGTAACACGGGAATCATAACTCAATGAGAGAGAATTTACAAACTGGGAAGGTAGCACAGGGAACATGTCCCAGTGAGAAAGAATGGACAAACTGGTAAGGTAACACGGGGAACATGTCTCAGTGAGAAAATGTACAAACTGGTAAGGTAACATGGGAAACATATCTCAATGAGAGAGAATTTACAAACTGGGTAGGTAACACAGGGAGCATGTCTCAGTGAGAGAAATTACAAACTGGTAAGGTAACACAGGGAACATGTCTCAGTGAAAGATAATAACAAAAATCAGGTTATACAGGAAACTTCTCTCAGTATAAAATAATCTATATACGGACGCCTGCTAATGAAGTCAGGACGGGAAATCACCCGATATGTCGAAGTTAAATTAGATCTAAATATGATAGAAAAATATAAACAAGTAAAAAATTCGAAGAGACATATTTGTAAGAGAGAAAAGAAAATATGGAAACCTTTTTGATTATTTTAGATAATTATAGAAGTTCGTTTTGAAAATCTGAATTGTTAAAAAATTTAATTGTTTTCGTTTCTGTTAACAGCTTTGTCCTTCTAACTGGTTCACATGTGAATCAGGGGGGATGACATGTATTATGTTAAGCATGAAGTGCGACTGTTCTAATGACTGCGATGACGGAAGTGACGAAACAACCGGGTACGCCGGATGTGACGCAGAACTTATGGCCATGTGCGAATCTGGAGCAGGTAATGGCTTATATAGTTATATATATTATGCAACGTGCATTTTATAGTGTTTAAGTATTAAAACAAAAAAAATCTGATTTCATCAAATTAAAAAAAAAAAAAAAAAAATTAATTAAACGAATACACAACAAATTAGGTGCAAAGAACGCGGTTGTTTCAATAATTCAAATCAGTGGTAATGTTTGACCAATGCATTGAAACTGCAAATGCCAAATAAATAACAAAAAAATAATTATAGAAAAAGGCAAAAAATCAGTATTGAGTATGAAATTTTGAAGATGTAAATGAACAATTTAAAAAGTGAAAATAATATCACCATTCGGATAACAAAAAGGCAATATTTGACACTTGTTTCCATCGTTTTCAGAACATGTTTTTGCCTCCATCACGTTGTTGGTCGTGAGTCTGGTCTTTGCTGCTATATTCAAGAACATGTAAACATCCCGACCTGTCCCTCACAATTCAAAGCAATCTGGTTCTTAACTGATTATTTGTTAAATACTGTATATATGAAAAGTTTGGCACAAAATGGAAGATTTCTTTTTATGTACGTTTGAAATAGATGTTTTTATTTTCCATGTGATGTATTCTGTTGTTGTAAATCTCCATGCCTATTGATATTGCAGCGATAACATTGCAGCCGCGTAAATCCCGAAACTTAAGTTCAGCCTATCAAATGTTGCTCGTGAACATTAATTGAAGTGCCAAAAATAATTTAGTCTCTATTTCACATTGTTTTAAATATTCATTTGTAATTGTATGACAAATTGTCACAAATTTGTTACACAAATTTCACATAATATATATATATATTTATATATATATTAATCTTAATCTTTCCATTGATCATTATTTTATTCATAGGTTTATGATTGTTTCAGTAAAATTTAAACGATGCTTACATTACAAATCGTGTGACTGATTTGTTTTACTTGGCAAAAATATAAATTCATAAATAAAAACCAGAAAACTTCATTGTCTTCTCGAAATTCTTTTTAACTTTCTAATAAAGAGGTGTTATTCATCAGGTCAACTGTGCTGTTGTCATTCATACAAGTGTTGGCGCTGTGACATTGACACACGCTCCTCAGCTATAGTTATTTACTTTTTATATAAAGATGTGAACGAAATATCTCATTCACAGCACATCCTTTGAAACATGCTTATTGCCAAACAAACGAGTAATAGTTTACTATAGCATTCAGGTCAGTGTTTTCTTGACAAATACATATCAAGTTACTTGAGTTTCAATTCAGTATGATATTGATGCAGCGAGTCTAAGGATTTTTTTTATTTTAGATTTGAAAATAAATCGTGATAAATATTTCATCAATTTCTATAAAATTATGAAAAACATTTACGAACACCTTTTTCTGATGTCATGTTTGAATTTTAAATCCCTCAATTTTGACTCGACATAATTATGTTGTTTCAAGTGTGATGTCATCATATATCAGATAGTCTATGACGTCATTTTATTACCATATTATGAGGTTAGAATAGGTAATATGATATTACCTTTAACACGAAATATGACATGATGTAGTCACTTATCATCAGGGTGATAAATATATCTCACGGTATAAGTTGAGGTTGACTTGGAAAAATAATTAATTTCATCAAGTATAATGTTTGTAATTTAGTGATTTATTACACCAAGTAAACATAGTATTTTGTTAATCAGAATATCCTTAAGACGTTGAGCGACCTTAGTGTTGTAGACATTTTTTATCCTATAAAAACTGGTGTATGAGTAATATACATGAGTAATGTACATGTCCATTTGACTTGATCCTTGAACATTAACATTCTTAATAATAGCGGATTAATCAAGTTTAAAAATATTATAGGTTAATCGTAATCCATTCTTATCCGATTGTATTGTTAACCTGATATTAACCTAAATAACACCATGCCATATTGTATAAGTGGCCAAATCTAAGGCGGCCTTATAGTACAATGACTGAGGTCAAATGAGCAATGTCTTTAAATGTAGTTAAATAATAATTACATGAATACATGCTGTGTGTTTCTTTTCTTTGATCTATGATAATTTTCGAATTCATGATATCATTTCATATTCATCATTTTTAAATAATTAACACATTTATCTTCCAAAACATTTCGCTTCTTCATTCATTCTATACCACAATACACGAGCATGTCGGCGGCAGCAATGTTGTAGAACATACAAGCATGGACACTTTTTTTTTTCAATCACATGTTGTTGTTTTTTTAAATCCTTCTGTTTTTCGAATTTAACTTATGATGCGGTTTCTGTATAATCGCGATATATAAGATTTAGAATATCTTATCTTATTATATATTTCAAAACGTCAGACATTAAGACGAACTCGGAAACGATGAAGACTTCTCATGTGTTAAAACAGATAAGTTGTCCAAAAAATTGCAATATCACTCATTTCACGTGTAGAATCTTATTTCCCGGCCGAACTTAGTTGTACCCCTTTCCTACCCGTAAAACTGAAAACACTTTAAGGGTTAGTTAATGTTGTCATTACAAGCAACTTATTCTCAATGTTTCATAGGAAGAAGAATAAGACACAAAACGAATTATATTTGGCAAGTTATTTCATTTGTTTATCGGCGAAATGTAGGAGACAATTGCCATTAATGATCCTGTATGTTCAACGAGTGAAATTAATATTTATGGAATGTGGAGTTTGAGAATCACAACAGATCTTTTGATCAGTCTTGAAAATCAGTTCTTTAAAAAGAAATCTTTTTCCAGATCATTTTACTTTTGACTTTTCCCCTTTGTAAATCAAAACCTCATACCAAACTGAAGGGATAACTCCATGTTTGACTGTTGACAGGCTATAAAAGCCTATATTAATAAAAATGAATACAAACAATTGTTAATATACTTTTATAAATTTGATATAAAAAATTATAAAATTCTGTTGCTTGGCTTTATGTAAAAGTTGCTTTTTGAATGAAACAAAAGACGACATATCATGCAGTGGGATGAATATCTGCTTTTATAGTTATTTTCTGTAACTTGCAAGATAACATATAATAATTATTAAACAGAGTTGAAAGGTAGAAACCCCTGGTGTACGTTAAAAAACACAGATAATATGAACGAGGTAAATATTGGTGTCTCATGATTATATAAAACCATTTACTTATCCAATAGAAAGTAGGCCACTGGGCCAATGTTTATATTAGATTCTAAAGTTTCTTTAAGACTTAATGCTAGACATTTTCAGATTAGCATTAATCTAAACCCGCATTCCCAAAATATAAATGTGATTAGACTTAAATGGCCGATTTATTGAACTATTTAAAAAAAAAATGAGGTAGGTATTCCTGCGATTACTAATGTGTGAAATATCCTATTATTCTTTTAATCACTTAAACAATGTCTGCGGAACAGAAAACGTCATGAATAAACATGGCTACCTGAATTAATTCTCATGCTATATGCTATCTCAAATTCAAATTGTTTTATTAATTTAGACCTACACTTATTAACAATAACATGACACACATAGGAGGATGAGGTAGCTATGTCTTTAATAGTGGATATGTTATATTCCAGGCACAGACTTATAAAATGAATATCTATTACATGAAAATACATAATCGACGCGGGTGGCTATCCAGGGATTCGAAGTGTTTGGGCCAATCCCTAACGACAAAGTTTCATTGGGTATGTATACCACTCATTAAGTGGATTGAATATTATAACTTCAAATGCATTTTTTTTTACTTCAAATATTTTTTTATATTATGTATATAATAATACATATCGATAAATAGTTTTAAGTGTCCATGTTACGGTAAAAATATAAATAAAACAAAACACGAAGACTAGTATAATCGGCTAGCGCTTTCGCCCATATCGGGGCTCTTCAGGCGATTTAAATTTATTTGTGACGTCATAAATACAGTACACATACTTAAAACGTCAAAAATACAAACAATACATATATATACATAAACAGAATGAAACTGTTACGTAATGTAGAAATTATACAGTATTGAATTGTTTTATTACTTTAGGCCTTATGGATGAGGTAGCTGTAACTTTACAACATATATGAACATATATATTAAATATTGGTGATTTTATATTCTAGACACAGACTTATAAAATGAATATCTATTACATGAAAATATACTTGTATATGAAAAATTCAAATTCAAACTTTTTACTTCAAATACATATTGACGGAAATGCCGTATATAATTATTTATATATATACATAAATAGAAGGAAACTGTTACGAATATAGTAATTTTACAGTAACGACGAGAGTGGCTACCCATGGATTCCAAGTGGTTGCCCCCCAATATCTAGAACAAATGGACCCTGAGGTTCAAACAATAAGGACCAACTTTCATATAACCGCATTTCAGTCAACAAAAGTACCCCAACATATTTTCTGTAACCCATCGCTTCCAAACGTTTTCAACTGCAAGAAAACGTGTAGTAATTGTATACATAATGGAAAGCTAGGAGAGCTTTTCATGAAGGGTCCTAAGTATTGAGAGACTCCTACTATCAAATGGAAAGTAAATTTCAGTATACTGATTGATTCTGTGGAAGACTACGCCAACAACATGGAAAATGCGATCAGGCTGAAATGGTTCACTTTTAAGAAGGCTCCACACATCGTCATCAGTTCTATTTTCGTACCGTACTTTTGGAAAAAGTACAGCTCGGCCTCAATTATCGCGAACGAAATGTGCATGTTCACCGTGTCGTTCTTTCGTATTGCGTATCGGCCATTTCATCTGATAAACAATAGTACGCGTGCGTGACGATCGCATAACCCTCCAGAGCTTGGAATCAAGGAAACTGCAGACTCTTCTACTACAGCCGCTTTCCTCGATCTTTACTTTCTATATGACCGGGATGGTTTACTACTCAGCTGTACCATAAGCAGATGATTTCGACTTCCCTTTTGCGAACTTTCCTATTCTTTATAGCAACATCCCTATATACTTCACATATGCATATCACAATTGGTTTGGTGTTCAATAATANAAAAAAAAAAAAAAAAAAAAAAACATAAACCCAAGTGTTCCGGAAGGGTAGGCGTCTTCTGCTTCTTAAACAGCACCCTCCATTTAAATCTAGGTCAAATCCAAGTGATGTCCGATACTCAGAGTGAGAGTCGGGTTAGTGACGACGAAAAGACGAGGCCATGTATAAAAATTATAAAAACATCGACCTTTACGCCAGAAATGAAATAACATATTGCGCATTGAGGTCATGATGGAGACCATAATACTTGTGACAAGGATTGAAGTATATGTATGTCAGATTATCTACTTTGAATTGTAGCCATGATATTAAACGAAATGCAAAGGAAATATTCAACTTTAATATTTAAAAATTTACAATTAACGTCAACATCGTGTTTTAAGTCCGAATAAATTACATTGACTGAGTAAAATCGAAAGGTCGTCAATATCTATAAACAATACTGTAAGAAGACCGCGTCTGGATCAGACAGGGCTGCCAGTTTAATCAATCAGCGGCCGGTGTAGAGAGGTGGCGTTAAAATTCAAATTTACAAGATAATGAGGTAAAACAGAGCTTTATAATAGCTACAGTTTGTTTAAACTTGTAACGCGAAATGATCCGCAGCAGAACATGATTATTTTTTTCTAATATTAAATCTTCATAAAATTTCTGAAAAGAAACCCATACTTTGCAGGACTTTAATGGGGAATAATATAGACGAAATAATAAAAATATAATCAACATCAGCGCAGGCCTAGATCGGGATTCAAACTCTGGACTTAAGATTGATATACTGTCGGTCTGACCGATTTCTTAGGCCAACTGTGCTCAAGTTACACGTAACAGAAGTTAAGGGGAGGTTACTGTATATCCTAAAAAAAGTTTATAAGATATTTATATTTATGAGATTTATCTCCCCTTCCACGTGTTTTTAAAGCCTTACAAAAGTGAAGTATCATTATTGGTCATGGAACATATTATTTATTTTTAAATATGGAAGGTTTATTTCGAAAACACTGACAAAACATGACTAGTGAATCATGAAGAAGATTCAATTAACAGGCTATTTTATTTGATCTATAGTATGTTATAAAAGGATTGTAGTTTTAATGAGTTTGCACAATATATTTGCACAATATATAATTTGTTTACATTCATGTTTTGACGATTGGACAATTAGCTTTACTTTGCAAACTAAAAGAAAAACTTTTTAACGAATTAAATCATCTTTACTATTAAAAAAAAAACACTATGGAGAATGTAAGTGTAAGATTTTAATACAAAAAGAAACTGACAAATGAAAACAAAATAGACTGCACTGAGAAATGTATTGTTAAATATGGTCAGGAGAAAGTATCACAGTTATTGATTAATACTTTAACGTTACACGATACCCGTAAAACACAGAACAGCAGCATCGATATGTATATGTATATTAAGGATACATGAATAGTAGGGATGTTTAGAACAAATATATTTGATGATTAACAGCAGATAAACTAAAATGTAAACAATGCATTGTTTTGTTATCTGTGTTATTACTATTGTTTAACGTTCTCGCATAAATGAAGACGGGTGTCCCGGGAGACATCGCTCAAGGAAGAAATGCATTAAAACTAAATATGAAAAAAACCTTTCTTTCACACCATTGCTGAAGATTATATATATAACAAACTTTCTAAACTTAAAAACAAGTTTATAAGTATGCTGTTTTGGACGGACTAATAACATCTTCCTTAGATGTGACATATCCAATAGAGTGTCATTGAGCTCACAATACATTTGATTTTATAGACAAATATGTTTCCTTATATAACGCCTTTCAACACACAACGCGGATAAAAGATTTCGATCATTAATAAAAGGTTTCGAACAAAGGTCCCAAATGTGTTTGTAAGGGAAGATGCTAAACACTGAAATGTTTAATAAAATTCGGGTAGAAGCTCATTTTCTTTTCTGTTTCCACTTTCCTACTTTCACAGTGTCCCGATCGGGCCTGTCTGATATACTCGGCTTAGCTAGATTCCTGTTGTTGTGGTGGCATAACAGGTGCTGGTGGTTCATCCGTCTTCTGCAGTTCCGGTTCCGGTGCCGCCGTCATGATTTTCCGTTGGAAATATATGAAGTGCATCCAACCAAACTCTGGTGTCATGCTAAGCGATTGCTTGAATATGGTTGCAGGCGTTTGAAGGATCCGTACTATCTCCCAGCCGTTTTGACCTTCCTGTGCTATAACGCTATCCCAGTTGGCGTTGACTTCAATTGTGGTTTTACCAATTCCAGTCATCTTCATCTTTCCCGGGGCCTTGTACTCCACCATTTTGGCTTCATACACTGGCGTGTTGTCGTTTATTTTGGATAAAGGCTTCTCAAATATGAACATTGCCCCTACTTCAGAAGTTATCTTCGATGCCATGAATGCTCTGTCAGAGAAACTTTTGTTGTTCTGGTCTAAGAAAACCTCCACTAGTTTCCAGCCCTGCGAAAGGTACGGTCCCACGATATTGGCCCAGTCAAAAGTAACACTCCAAGATCCCCCAATGGCACCTGTCATTGTTTTTAGCACTGCAGACATCTGAGCAGGGACAATCTGGTACGTGTACTTCTCTCCGCCTGGGGTTGTGGGCATGTCATAGAATATGTCGACACACAGAACTGGAAAACAACAGAAGATAAGATAATATTACTTCCAGTTCCTAAGGCAATACATTCAAAGTGAAAACAATAAACAAAATGCCAGAATACCTTGTGGTATTTGATAAAACAGACTATATAACACCGCATTTTAGTTATCCCCAATTTCAACGAGAATGTGCCTCGTTTCTGGTTTCTGTACTTTTTACTCACGTGTGCAGTAACTATGTAACATAATGTTATTATTTTTTTTGTTATTTTTTTTTGTAAATTCATAACATGCGTGTTTGTAATTGAAATGATCATACATGGTTTCTCTACATGTGATGTACGTATGCTTGTAGTAAAGATATCGTACGACATTTTTTTTTACAATTTATACACGTTTGTTTGTACCGAAAAGCATCAATAAATTGGTCTCCTACAATTTATGCACGTGAATTTTGACCGAAAACATCATACACAGCTTCTCCACATTTTACTCACGTGTGTTCGGACTATGACCATAGAGAGACATGCTTGGTTGCGCCCCCATACCCATGGTTGCAGCGGGTGCTGCTGACGCTCCCGAAAATGATCCACCTGTTACCTCAATGGAAATAAGGCGTCCACCATCGACCGATAATTTCTCTATGGTCTGGAATATATGGGTTGGTTGAGAGGTGACAGTGCCTCCTATTTGCAAAAGTCCTGTTGCAAACACTTGTTGGGGAAGACAAGACTTCTCCATACATAATTTCCACTTTCCCTTCTCTTCGTCACTGACTTTATGAAATATTCCTTGCGTTTTAAGTTTCGTTTCCATTTTTAGAGAAACGAATCCCGAAGCTGTCATACTTCCGGGAGAAACGTTGAAGGTCGACATTCGGAACCCAAGATCGTACATGTTGGTAAGGGCAGGTAGGTATATACTTCCTGTCAGCGTCTTAAACTCAACCTGTGGTCCAAAAGCTAAGCCGGTTTGAGCTTCGTGTGGTACGTCGATATTGACGATATTGTAGGTAACGGGTGGCCCTGCATACTTTGGTTCTTGGGGTACTGCTGCTGTCGCTACAGGCCGCGGAGCCGCCGTGCTGCTGCTCTGTCCACAACCCATACTCTAGATCTGAAAATATTTATTTTTTAAATATTAAAAAGATGGATCAGGATTGTTCATTTCTTTTTTGATAAAGTATGACATTTCCTCAAAGGGTATACAACAGGGTATAACCAAACTATTTTGAATTGCTAAAGTTGTGAAATTTTATAAAATATATACAGCATTTTATATAGCGCCCTATCTAGCTAGAAAAAAGCCACTCTAAAGCGCTTTACAGTACATAGATATTCAATTAATACAAATATCATATACTTTAATCAATACCACGTTGAGGAATTCACAGGAGCTACCTTATCAGGCGCTAACTACTATTCATATGCCACCTGGCTAATATCTCCCTATGTGTGTATGCCTGCGTGTGTGTTGGAGATGTAGTGTGTATCTTTCATTTCACAATAGTTTGTTAATACTTTTTCGTGGTTTTAATCCTGTAACAAATATACGGGATATATTTTTCACTCAACACCATAAAATCAATAGTTCAAACCAACTTTCGTTCAAAATGTTTATAAATGCGTTGCCATTACATTCCTCATAATTTTGCAAAACACGAATACAAGGCACCCGTAACATACAAGTTTGATGTGGATATAACAACGTTCAGTATAAACAAAGTTAGCATTTTCTTGGACACTGCAAAATATTTTGATGGTGAACATTTAGCACAAACTCTACTACACTGTGCAATATTTATATTGCAGTTACCCTTCGTATATATATCGTAGCTTCACAGAACGTTAACATTGTAAATAAACTGGAGCAGGCCAACGGTTGGCAATGACCTTAAGTGCCATTACTCGTCCATTAAACAATAAAATCCCCGGTGTTTATCCGTATCCAACGGCACCCTTCGTGTTTGTTATAGTCCGATGGAACCATGGGATAAAAAAACACTTTGTTAAAATAAATTCTGTTATGATATACTCTAGATCGATGGTTAACTTTAATCGCTCAGTAACAACAACAGCAGACACAATACTATAAGGCTGATATCAGGACAGAAACTGTATACCGAGAAACTAACGCCAAATCAAATATTCGCCCTTTTCCGATAAAATCCATGTTTGGCCAATGTTAATTTCGCCCTTCACATGTAATAACTTTATATTGTATGTTGTGTACTAAAATTCGCTGTCATGATACATTTGCCCTCATGTCCTCATTTGTGAGGGGGAGGGGGAGGAAAGGG